CTCGACCTGCTGGGCTCCGGCGATCCTTCCACCTCAGCCTTCCAAGTAGCCGGAATTACAAGCACATGCTACTATGCCCGGCTGATTTTTTGATTTATTGTAGAGATGAAGTCTCGCTGCCCAGGCGGGTCTCGAACCCGGGGGCTCAGGCAGTTGTCGCTTTTTATAGGTAAATGGCAGTAGTTATAACCCACCTACCCAGAAGTTTTTTGTGAGGGCCTCAGTTATTTCAAGATGCAAAGGGGTCCTGAAGTGGAAATGTTTTAGGACTGCTGTTTTAACGCTTCCCTTGAAATAAGGACAACAGTCATGATAATCTCAGCTGACATGGATTGATCTAAGTAATCTTAACTCCATCTTGAACATAACTGTGTGGCGGATGCTGCCCTTCTTATTCATACCGCTGTATAAATGAGCAAATGAGCATTGCGATGGCAGCACTTCCCACCTTCTGGAAATTGCCCTGTGGGTGGGGAGGTCCGAAGTCCCAGGTGAGTCAGGTCTGCCCTTCCTGGGGAGAAGCAGCTGCCGTAGAATATGGTATGTTCGAGAAGTACTGTCCATGGCGGTCTGCATGGGCGGTCAAGGGAAGTGCCATGTAGATTCAGGGGCTTAGGGAAGATTCCCCATGGACATGGCATTCCAGCTGGATCTTGAAGGATCTGTGGGGTTGGCAGAGTGAATTGGGCAGGAGAGATGGACACCCCTAGGGGAAAGAGGCCATGAGCAAGGTATAGGGGAGGGAGGATGATACCAGTATTGCCCTACAAGGCTATGCTAACCATACAAGGGCATGGCCTGGGTGGGAACATGGTGGTCAGGCAGGTGCATTGTACTGATGCTTCATGGTCACCAGCATCTAGGGGTAGTGAAGAAGGCAGAGGTGCTCAGGGCCACTGCAATGCTATCTCTTCCCATGTGCTTTGCCCTTCCCTGCAGGAGAACCACTGTCGCCGCATCAAGATCCTTGGGGACTGCTACTACTGCGTATCAGGCCTCACTCAGCCCAAGACCGACCACGCCCACTGCTGCGTGGAGATGGGGCTCGACATGATCGACACCATCACGTAAGTGCTTCCCGGTGGCAGGAGGAGCAGCCCTGAGTTGTGGAAATCGAGGCACCCCTGCTTCATGCAGGTTCCGCTCGCCGGACTCTGCTTTGTCCTAGTGGGTGTGTCTGAGGCTGCAGAGAGCAATGCCAGCCTCAGGAGGGTGCTGGACCCAGGAAGTCCCATTTGGGCTGTGAAAGGATGCTTTTGTAATCCCCTTCCTTTGCATTTTGTGTGTGACTGTATTTCTCTGTCCACAGGAATCCCTCATATTGTCAGGTATGCATGAGTTGTGTGAAAAGAAATTATAGCTTAGCTGGATGAGACATTCAGAAAGGGTTGGCCCAAGTCCAGCTGAATTCCATTTTAAAAGGAAGTAAAAGTGTGTGTGCATGTTCTTCATCTAGACAAGTGACTGGGTGTCAGTGCTTTCTGTGTGGGGAGAGGCCTGGGATCACAGCAGATGAGTCTTTGTGGAAAGATTAGTAAACCTGTGAGGCCTGGCTTGCCCATTTCTTGGCCACTCTTGTCTTGTCACTGTCTTTATCAGATACTGGGATGAAGATGTAGAGGTAGAGGCTTTTATCAAGTTAGAGAAGGCACGAAACTGGGAAGTTGAGCCAATGCATAGTGTATAGATCCAAATTCAGACATCTCAAAGTGTGGAGAGATGGGTATGTTCCAGTGAGACAGAGTTCACAGGCATTGGTGCAGAGCTTCACACTTGGAGCAGAAAAATAGTAGCACAAGAAATGTGTGAGGGAGACAGAGTAGCTGCGGGTAAAGAATGCACAAGCAGAATACCCCAGCAAACAAGGCTGCAGAGATGGGGTGAGACCGCTGGTTTCCTGTGCCACATTGTTGCATTGTGGGCAGCCTGTACAGTCCTCCTGAAGATGACATGACTGGGAGGAGGGCATCAGGAGGCGGCCAGTGCCTTGGGCAAAGTGTCCAGTCCTGGCACCCCTTGTCGGATACGCTCATGAGAACCCAAGTCCCCGATGACTGCTTTACCCTGAGAGCCTGACGTGGCTGGTCTGGGGTGTAGTTTAGGACTGAGAGTGGAAAAGCCCCCAGGTGACTTCAGTACACAGTCAAATAGGAGAGCCACTGCCCCAGAGAAAAGCAGTTTAGCTGGAAAGGATGCTAGGCAGAAACAGGGAGGAAGGAAGGAAGGACACCTGGCTTGGAGAAGACTTAGAGGGGATGACTGTCTTCTGTTCTGTGAAAGGATGTCACATCATGGGTTACATTATCACAGCTTATCATATATATCATACATTGAATCTTATGTGCCAAATCGTGTTATATATCATTCATTACATCATGTCATATGTTGCATTGTATTGTGTATTACATTGTATGTCCTATCATATATATTACGTCATGATACATCTAATATATTATACATCATATCACATATATTACATCATACACCAGCAGTCCCCAACCTTTTTGGCATCAGGGACCAGTTTTGTGGAAGACAATTTTTCCACGGACCAGGGGGTGTTGGGTGGGGGGATGGTTTCAGGATGATTCAGGTGCATAACATTTATTGTGCACTTTACTGCTATTATTATTACATTGTAATATATGATGAAATAATTTTACAGCTCACACTAAAGAAGAAGGAGGCATGGATGGAAGTGGTAAATAAATTAACAGGCAGGCCACCTATGGACTTAAAGCCTACCACCAGATGCAGCTGTACAATTGAAGTACCTCCACTCACTGACAGGATTTAGATATGAGTCTGCAAGCAGTTGATTTACTATGGCCTCTGTGCAGTCAAACCGCACTGCTCATGTTGATCTGTATTTGTAGCCACTTGCCAGTGCTAGCATCACCGCCTCGGCTCCACCTCAGATCATCAGGCATTAGCTTCTCGTAAGGAGCCGCCACTTAGATCCCTGGCAAGCACAGTTCACAATAGGGTTCGCGCTCCTATGAGAATCGAATGCTGCCACTGATCTGACAGGAAGCAGAGCTCAAGAGGTAATGCGAGCAATCTGGAGCGACTGGTAAATACAGATGAAGCTTTGCTCACTGGCCCGCTGCTCACTTCCTGTTGTGTGGCCTGGTTCCTAACAGGCCTGGGGCTTAGGGGCCCCTGTCATATACAACATATCACACCATAGAATTTTTATATCATATATCACATATCCTATATTGTGTATATTACATCATATTATATATAGATTATGTATATCAGATCATATGCAGCAGATCATATATTATATCATCTACCACATTGTCTCACATCATGTATAATATCATGTGTTATGTGTGTATATATATCACATATCATGTCAGATCTTGTTTTGTGTGATCTTCTTGAAGTAAAGTGAGGTGAAAGCTATAAGGAGACAAATGTCAGTCCATTCATTTAGCAAATATTTATGAAGCCTCTGCTTGGTGCCGAGCACAGACACAGACAGAGGTGAATGGTGCGGGCTGATCTGGCTGACCAACTGGCTTATGGAGTTGAACCAGTTGTCCTTGTGACCCTTGAAGGTTGGTGACCCTGGCTGTGTCAACCAAGGTCGTACTGAGAAGAGCCTGGTGTTCCCTGGTAGCCCTTGGCGTAACCTGGCTGCTCAAGCCCCTGTGATCACTGTACTCCCTGTCTCTCACACTCTGGTGTTCTAGGCCTCAGGTAGTGCTGTCCTTCTTCCATTCCTGTTCTACCTTGCTCGATTTGCACATTGATAATGGGGGCACCCTCCGCCCCTTGCTGCTGCTCAGGAAACCCTGCGTCTGCCTTCTGGTTTTGTGCCTGACATCAAGTCTCATGGAGCTGCAAGCCCACCTGCCTTGCTCTGCTTCCTGGTCCACTTGCTCCATGAACCTGTACTTCCCCCACCCCCTGCAGGTTCACTTGGTGTGTCTCACTTGGGGTGTCAAAGGCCTGTGAACCTCAGGAAGACTCCAGTGTGAATACAGTAGTGGGGCTGAAAGAGGTCTCCTGAAGTGCAGGCCAGAGCCTCTCCTTGTAAAAGACACGGCAAAGAATGCTTGACTTGGAAGTAGAGGTTCAGGATCTCTACCTTCTTTGACTATTCAGCTCACAGCCTGGCCCTCTAGAAGCTGCAGTGTCCAGAGGCCACAGCAGTGGGCTGGGGGCCCTCCAAGTCCCCTGGGTTCTTGCTGCTGACCGTGGGAGGTCTGGACCCTTGCCCTCAGCTTACCTGTCCTGACCTCTACTACCAGATCAGACCCACCCCTCAAACTTCTAGGCTTTATTCAGGCCTAGATTAGGTATGCTCCTTTAACAAAATGCATATTTTTATTGGTGTGATTTTTAGTAATGACTTTAAAATGATACACATTCCCTGTTTGGGCCAGGTGGCTTCCTTCTCTAGGATGAATAAAGATGGGGTGCCCAGAGAGTTTGGAGACCAGGCTAGCCTTCCTTCTGAAGAGCTGTGTGACCCTGGACTGTCCCTCCATCGTGGGGCATCAGTTTTCTCCATCTGTAAAATGGGTAGGTCAGCCTCATGATATCCTGGCTCTGAGCCAAGTGAGCACTGGCTGCTGTGGCCAGGCTGACAGGGCCAGGCCCCACATCCTGAGGTTTGGGACCAGTCTTTGACCTCCCAGTTCCTTTGGGATTTCTCTAGGACTTCTCATGATGCTTAGGCTGCAGGGACAGAGGCAGTACATTGGGACCTACGTCAATCTCTGACTTTCCAGGTGGCAAGAGGTCTCATCTGAGATGTCATACATGCTCTGTCCCTGAATTCTGTTCTTGGAAGCCACCTGCATACTCTCAGAAGAGTGCCTGAGGATGTTTTCTCCTGCTGGTGAAGCCAGATGAGGTCTGAGCCCCTCCTTGGGGCCTGACTTGGGCATCCTTGTGTCGGTCCCTCCATGTGAGATCTGTGCCCACCCACCCTTTTCTGCTCAGACCCCCTCATCCCCCAGCATGCACCACTATCTCCAGTTTCCCTGCTGGACAGGCCTAGAATATTATGTTACCCTGGGAAGCCTTTCCCATCCATCCAGGTCTGGCCTACCAAAATGGCGTTTCACAGGGTTTCAGCCAACCAATCCCCAGCTGCTGTTTTTGGTGAATGGGCTGGGGGCTTCTGATCCCTAAGGAAGTGGACGAGCCTCCTGGATTTCTGACTCTCATCCCTTGAGGTGATGCTGCAGTTTCCTTGCATCCTTAATTATCATTGCTGTAAAATGGAGAAATAGCATATGAGCCTCTAGTTGTGAGGGCTTAATGGGATCTCACATCACATGGGCCTGTATAGGATAGGCTTTAGCAGCCACTGTGAGCATTGATTCATTAGCTTCCAGAAAGAGAGAGCCGGTTCAGAGAGCCAGTGGCTGATTCTGCAGAATTTTCCCTGTAGCGGTGGGTTCTGTGCACCTACAGGAATGGGGATTTGTCTGCCCACTTTGGGGCAAAGCCTCGTCCATCACAGGCAATGGATGGACACCTATGAACAACCTTTGAAACAGGATCTTCATTCTTCCACACAGCCCCCAAGTGTGCAGTGCTCCATTTTGCTAAATGGGCGTAAGCCAAATGCGGCCATGCTCTGCATATTTTTGGCTTATTTTATTAAGTTAGAGTAAATGGCATGTGCATGTCCTCCCCTGGCTTACCTTTGAGCTGGTAAGATCAGCTTGCATGTGCTGTGGTAGTCAATAGACCCTGACTGTCCCCCAGCTTGCAGCCCTGGAGGTTGTGTGAGAGTGAGTGGGGATTCCCACATACCTCATGCACCTGGCACCTGGGCTAACAACACCTTGCTTTTTAACAAGCTGGCTTGTGTGTGTGAGCCACAGAGCACAGTGGCCTCAGTTTTTCAGCAGAGCATAACTTGGGGGATTACCTATTCTAGTTATTGGATTCTGGTTTTCAAAGCCAGACCTATTCATCAATTTAGTGCAGGAGAGGAGGAGATGATGCCTGTGTGCACACACTTCGACACCTGCCACACACAGTTTTCCTTAAAATTTTAGGAGATTCAGAGCTTCGGAGTACTGTATATTCCAGGTTGAGAACCTGCATTTTTACAGGTGGGGAAACTGAGGCCCAGGAGGGGAAGTGAGGAGTCCAAGTTGAGGTTATGAACTTGAACACATGGGTTTGAAACCATTTGCCCCGCCCTTTTTGCCAGACTAGGGTTGGGGCTTGGAGCCTGCTCAGGCTTGTGTATGGTTGTGATTTCTGGAAATTCTGACTAGGTAATAGTAAATCAGCCTCGATAGTGTTCTCTGTCCTCTTTTTTTCTGTTATGTGCATGGCTGTAGCCTTCATACTTAGAATAGTGGTTGCAGTGGGTAAGCTCCATAGATGTTTGCTGCACAAATGAATGGATATATACTCATCTGTCCTTTCGTTTTCAGGCTTCAGTGTGGCCATGATTAGGTTTCAGCTCTGCCAGAATTTATTATGCCCAGGGGCCAACGGTGCCATGGGTGGGCCACTTCCTTGTTTCCTCCCTGTTGGATTCCAGCAAGGAGGGCTAAGGTTGGAGCTGCAGGCAGTGGGCAAATGTCAGACTTTCTCTGTGCATAAAAAATACTTGACCTAAATAAGTGAACATGAGAGCACACGCAAGAAAGAGAAAATGGACAGATAAAGCCAAAGAGGGCTATGGTCACCTGTTCCTTGGAAATGAAACTGAAGGGTCTGTTGGATTTGGGCAATGCCAACTTGGGCATCCCAGGAACGACGAGGCCAAGAGGAGTGGCTGTGAGAACAGATCTGGATGCCTAATTTATTTAACAGTAGTTGTCCATTTAACTGCAGATCTGGTGTTACCAGAAAGGACATTTGAGGCAGAACCTCAAGGGAAGTTGAAAGATGGGAGAGTATTGGTAGAGAGTGCCAGTAGCAGACATTGTGTGGCTGCCTGGTTTTGGCTGGAGGCGACTTGAGATGCTGTTCACCGGGAAGCCAAGATCCATTTTGGTGGGCTTGAGGGCATCTGGGGACATAGGTGGACATGGGTCCCAGAAGCCCTCATGTCATTTACCCTTTCATGATAGCAGAGGTATAAACACTAAAGGTGTACAAAATACCTCTGGCAGGTTTAGTTATTTACATTTTCCCATACTCATTTCCTTTGTGGATTAAAAAAAAATTACCTTCAGTGTTTTGTTTCATTGCTTCTAATTGGAGATTGGCAAATGACTGAGAAAAAGTTAAAGTAAGAAAATTTATATCCAAAATATATAAAACTGAATAGATTTAGGGCTATATCCATAGCTCTAATATATTTCTCTTTTTTTAATTTTAAATTTTTATTTTCTACATTTTTACTAATACTGCTTAATCTGAAAAAGTCTGGCCATAAGCATGTTATTTCCCTTTGAAACTAGTGAAATCAGAGCAAAAAATTAAAAATTTACTTTGAATATACACCCTCAAAAATATTTACTTAATCTGGCCTTACTGTTTATATGAAAAGGCTTTCTTTCCCCCAAATAAAGGTCATAAGATAAATTCAAGATTCTTTTGAATAAAAACAAAAACAAAAAAGCCAATATAACTTCTAAAATAAGGCCGGCGGAGCAGGGGGGAGTGGGTGCTCTTGCCCATAATCCCAGCACTTTGGGAGGCCGAGGTGAGAGGATTGCCTGAGCCCATGGGTCCGAGACCAGCCTGGGCAACGTGGCGAGACTTCATTTCTACAATACATAAAAAAAAGAGCTTCTCCTGTAAATTGTGGCATGCACACTTCTGAGGCTACTGAAGCTGAACACGCACTAGGACTTGGATGTGAGGATTCTGTGGCTTTGCATCTTCCAACAAGGAGTCTGGGCCGACAGCTATCTCGAAGCATCTGCTGGGGCCTTCGTGGGCTGTGGCTTTGGAGAATGAGCCCTCAAGCGGGTGGTGTGGGTTGTGAAGGGCAGAACTGCTCCTGTTTGGAAGGCCAGTCCGGGAGGCAGTTTGAGTGGAGGCCAGGGAGGCAGTGGGGTCATGCTGAGCAGATACTCCTTCAGCCTTGACTGGGGCTCCAGGAAGGAGGCTCTGGTGGAAACGGGGTGCACAGTCTGCAAAGGCAAGTTGGGCAGTGTACCTGGGGGAGTCCTTCCTGGAGCCTTTGTTAGTTTTTTTCCACAGCTGATGGAATAGAAAGAGGGAGTGGTTGACCTATTCCCTTAAGCATTGGGGTATCCTGGAATATAATTTACTCGATTTTGAAGGTTGTCAGAACTAATTTAGACATAGCGGGGTTTACACACGAGGAAACTGAGGCTCAGAGACAGATATCAGTGTGTCTAAAGTTGGCCAGGCCAGATTCCCAGAAGCCCTCAACTCTCTTAGTGTCTGCTCAATCTTCGGTTCCCCTAATAACATCCCTCCCCATGCCTGTTGTCCCATCCTGGTTCCTGTTTGTTGCTCCTCGTGTCACCAGCCTCATGCCTGGGCGTGGCCTCCAGTCCCTGACCCTGAGAAGGAGACTTTTGCACCAAGGCCTGAGGTCATCAGGAAGGGGATGGGGAGGTAGGGCACAATGCTTGGGCTGTGGATCTGTCAGACGTTTTGGCGGTTTCTCATGTCCCTGGCTGGCAAGCAGACAGGAGCCCTCCTGACAGGGCAGTGGCAGTGCAGAGTGCTTTGTTAATCCAAATTGTCCTGATGTTGCACTCCACAGTGGTTACCAGATCCACACGGTATTCTGAGGTCCTGGGCTCATTTCCCTTTGTGGACTGCCCTAGGGAAGAAGAGGACACTGGGAGACCATGGAGGGAACTCACGGGGCTGGTGTGGACATGTGAGCTGGGTGGGAGCATGACTGGGAGCCATTCCCCCTGCCTGGGGCCATCGCAGGTGGAATGGGAAGGTGCTGCCATCCACCAGTCAGGCCAGGAGACCTCCATACCCAGACTGCGGGCAACAGGAACAAGGTCCAGCTCCCTTGCTGCTCACAGCCTTGCAATACAGACCATGGCGGCCCATCAGGGAGGGTGCCCGGCGAGTCTCAGCTCCACACTCTGTGCCTGTATTGTAGGTCTGTGGCTGAGGCCACTGAGGTAGACCTGAACATGCGTGTGGGTCTGCACACGGGCAGGGTCCTCTGCGGTGTCCTGGGTCTGCGCAAGTGGCAGTACGACGTGTGGTCCAATGACGTGACACTGGCCAATGTCATGGAAGCTGCTGGCCTGCCAGGGTAAGTCAGGGATGGGGTGGGAGGTTGGGGGGCAAGGAAGGAGGCCCGTGGTGGCTGTGTGCCCTTGGCCTGAGTCCTTGCTTTCAGAGCTGGGCTATGCTCCTGAGGTCACCTGCGTGGGACCCCAAAGGAGCCAGCTGCACCTGTCCATGTGCATCCCTGTGGTGAAGAATCTGCCTAATCCCGATGCCTGCCTCCACTGGGGTCTGGCTGAGGTTCTTGGCCCCTCTGGTGCACGGCTGCAGAAAGTCATAAGTGCAGCAGAAGGCCAGATGCAGATGTGTGTGGGGACCTTTGCCGATGACAAAGTGTTGGCCTCATGGCTTTTTAAAATCACTTCATCACTTCTTGTTTTGCTGTCTCCGGTATCATTTTCTCCAGTGTGCAAGTAGAAAGTGCAGTGATTTGAGAGCCCCTCCTCTGCCCCCAAGCTCCATGTGGCTGTTCGGGGCCTGCTAGATGCCTGGCTCACAGGCTGTGTGGTCTCTGGGCTCACTTAGAAGTGCAATGGGCTGTGGATGGCCATGCTCTGTGGCAGGCTCAGCTATGACTTCAAGGAAGGTTTTCAGCACACACCGCTGCCAGCCACGAGTCCTGTAACCTCCCTTTTGTGTGGGCTGGCAGTGGCTACCCAGAGTAGGCAGCTTGTCCACAATGCTGGCTGCTCCTTGGCATACTCAGGGCTCAGCATAATGCCAGGGCTTCTGTGAGAGTTGACATTTTCCCTTCCCTGTCAACCTAGGAGCTCAGGCTGTACAGATGACCATCTCTATCACTGAAGGAATGAATGAGACCTCCTTTGCCTTCAGGAAAGGACATGCACTTGGCCTTTCTGGAGACAGTGACCTTTGTAGTTTAGGGCCAGGATCATGGGGGTGACCGTGTTCTAGGTGCTCCCGGAGCCCCTGGGGAGGAGGCAGCTAGTGGCAAGGGCAGAGGCTTAATCCGAGTGAGTGCCCTCCCTGCTGTGGGCCAACAGTCATCGCTGATGGGGGGCATCCCAGGAATATCCCGGTGGGGACTGGGCCCAGGGGTCCAAGCAGTCTGAGGTGATGGCCAGAAGTGATGCCTGTGAATGTGGTAGCACAGAGACCAGCACCCAGCACGTGGTGATGGCTGGAGTCAGAGAACCTGCCTGTGCTGTCCTCTGGGCCCTCTCCTCTTCCTGGCCTGGCAGTCCCTCCCTCTCCTGTCAGCCCCCTCCTGTGAGGACCATAATGAAGCCACCACAAGTAAAGGCCCTGGCATCCACCCAAGCCCTGCCCTCATCCTCTCTGGATCCCTGTGAGCTTGGGCGCTCTGCCCTCAGCCTGTTTCCCATCCACGCCTGGCTTCCTGCTTTCATCCTCAGCCAGGGTTGAGTCTAATTTGGAATCCAAGCCTTTTCCCCTGTGAGGAATTTGGAAGAGTGTGTGGTGAAGAGCTGGGACTGCAGGGAGTGGTTTTGAAACCTGGGAGTTTGCCTCTCACCCCAGAAACCTGCACACTCAGACCTGCACTGTGAAGGAGCAGAGGCTGCTGGGTGTTTTAGAGTCTATGCTAACTGTGAGAGTCTTCCTGCGCTCACTAAAAGACTGGCTTGGAGAAACATGAATGCCTCGACCCCATGGCTCATTTCTCACCACTCCCACAACTTGTGTGTGACCACCATGGCCTGTAAGCCAGCCTTGACTTTGGGGGCCAGGTGAGGACTGCCATGATCCTGCAGACCGCAGTGGCCCCTGGCTGTTTGGAGAGGGACTCCCACTTCTCTCCTCTTTCTCTTCCTCACCTTGGTGCCGCGTTTTCTTTCCTCGTCTTCCCTCCTCTGTCCTTCTTTTTATATTTTTAATTTTAATTTAATTTTAAAGATGTGGGGTACAATTCAGGATTAGGTAGATAAGTGGTCATCTGAGGTAAAATTTGGGTCTCCCTTTGGTCCCCACTTCACCTGGTTTGAGATCAGGTATCCCCACTTCACCTGGTTTGAGATCAGGACTTTGCAGCATCATGCATCCTTCTGATGCTATTTTTCTTCTTTCTTGCCTCTTTGTTTATCCTCCCCTGGCTCAGGGCATGTTCCCTGTCTCCCCACATGGTCCCTTCTGACTCTGCTCTGCCTCTGTCTGTCTGGGCCCTCCCCACACCTCTCCCCGCCGCCTACTCCCTCTTATCCCCCCATCCCCTGACTCGGGCAGACTTGCACAGCACACGAGTCCTCCTTTTGGAGCCTGTGCTGGGTGGGCAGGCTCTGCCTGGGTCCTGCCAGTGAGGGCCCTGTGGGATTCTGAATAGTGTCAGTTCACCACTCATTCTGCCTCTCTGCCTCCTTTCTTTTGTAGGAAAGTTCATATCACAAAGACGACCCTAGCATGCTTGAATGGGGACTATGAGGTCGAACCAGGTTATGGACATGAGAGGAACAGTTTCTTGAAAGCTCATAATATTGAAACCTTTTTTATCGTGCCATCCCATCGCAGAAAGGTAGGTTCTAGAGCCCACCCTTAGGGCCTGTGCAAAGCTTTGCAGACTTAATTGCTTCTGCTTCCTCCTCCAATCACTGCTTCTCAGGCTTGTGTCCTTGCTGAGACAGGGAGGGATGTCTCCACTAACATTTTCCTGGGCTTTGCCTCTTGCAGGTGTGTGACAGGTGAGGAAGGCAGGGAACCAGAACCTCTAGAAAGAGGTGGGGGTTCAGGGCTCAGGTGAGGGTTCAGGGCTCAGGAGAGAATTTAGGAATTAGTTGACAGTTCAAGGATGTAGGGTTGTTTACTATGTTGTTTCGTTATAAAGAAACAATTTGTGGGAGCAAGACTTGGTGCTCAGGGGTGGACGCTGCCTCTTGGGCTAGGTCATATTGATAGACAACAGCATCCAGGTCCGGTGGCTTTTGGGCAAATGGAGGTGATGAGGTCAGGATAGCATGTAGCCCTCTCTTTAAAGAAGTCTGGATGGTGGAGGGGAAGCGTGAGAATGCCCAAAAGAAGAAGGGCGCTTTGTTGTTTTAAAGAGTAGAGGAGATTTGTGCCTATATGTGTGGGCCAGTGAAGGTGAAGGTGGAGGTGAAGGTGAGAGGTGGGCAGTGAGGCCAAGAAGGGGCTGGCTGTTGGTGAGCTGGCCAAGGACACTGAGCGGTCAGAGGAAAACAGGGTAGGCTGCAGCTTTTGGCTCACTAGCAGGACAGGCAACCCAGCAAGAACAATTACTGTGACTTATCCCTGCAGCATTCTTGAAAGAGTCCCAAGGGGTTAGTGGGTTATGTTCATCCCATTTTGCAGATGTGACTTTACCCGGGACATGAAGACTATGAGGGATGTGGGGCCTTGAGCCTCAACTGGGTGAGGAGGACCCACTGTCCAGCCCTGCCTGGCCTTCAGACTCCTTCTCCATTTGTAAAAGGGGTGTTGCTGGGACCTGAACAGGTATCAGAAACCAAGAAGTTACATTTATGGCAAGCCCCGGTGGTCTTTCCAGATCCAGGCCTCAAACCTGCCTTGCTGTGGCCCAGGATTCAATGCATCGCTTTGATTTTCAGATCCCTTTGGTGTGGTTTGAAAACCGAATGTTTTGGAATTGGGTTGGGGCTTTGTTCACTGCTGTATTCCTGGCATATTCCCCAATGCCCAACATGAAGTAGGCATTGAGCAAATGAATCCCAGTGCCCTGGGGTGGCTGTCGCTGTCAGGCTAGCGTTCCTAACTTGAAATGCAAAATATGTCTTGTTCATAGCATTTCTCTTTGCCTGTTGTGTGTTTGGACAGATATTTCCAGGCCTGATTCTCTCGGATATTAAACCGGCCAAGAGGATGAAGTTCAAGACTGTCTGCTACCTGCTGGTGCAGCTCATGCACTGCCGGAAGATGTTCAAGGCCGAAATCCCCTTCTCCAATGTCATGACCTGCGAGGACGATGACAAGGTAGGAATGGCCGGAGAGCCCACTGTGCCTGAACTAACAGGAACTGATTTCTGTTTTCCTCTTCCAGTATAATCTCCATGAGTTTGGCTAGATCCAGACCCACCGTTTACATGTTTGTAATCTTATAAATGCTGCTCAGAACTGAGCTACTTTTTCTTTCCTGTAAAAGTCTTTACTGTGCATTATCTTGTGTGTGTGTATGTGTATTTGTGTGTCTTTCTCCTTGGTGTTCTGTGTATTTGTCTGTAATTTATGTATTTATCTGTAAGTTCACCTGTTGTCTAAATTGCCTCTCAGGATATTCACTTCGATTGGATATGTGTCAGGATCTCAATTTCTAGGTGCATTAGCTCATGTTGCCCCATAACAGAATAACACAGGCTGAGTGGCTTCAACAACAGACATTTATAAGGGGAGACCCACAAAATCCCGGAATTTGTTTATAAAAAAATTGTGTTTATTCTTGCATGTTTAAACTTGTCACCTTCAAAGTGCCCTCCATTTGATGAGATACACATATTGAGACGCTTTTTCCACTGCTCAAAACAGTTTTTGAACTTGTTAATTTTGATGTCTTTTGGTGCTTCTGCCATTTTTTGGTTTCACCCCTTCCACATAGACAGAATGTTTCCCTTTGAGACCTTTTCTCATCCAGAGAGACAAAAAAAAAAAAAACCGAAAACCCAAACAAACAAAAAGTCACTCAGAGGAGGATCTGGTGAATAGGGAGGTTGGGACACCAGGGTCATGCTGTTTGGGGTCAAAAATGGCAGAAAACCCAGCTCAGTGTCAGTGTGGGCAGGTGTGTTGCTAAATCATTGATTATGAAATGGGCAAATGCGTTGAAAGTATCCCACCCCCCCCCACCAAAATTCACTGAAGCCAAACGTAGCCTCTCACAACAACACTAGCTGGTACACTGATGCTGATTGGTTGAAGCCTGTACTACAAGGGGCCCATTGCCAAAAAAAAATTCTTCTTGGATCCCCCCTCAGATTTCTCTCCGTTCCAGAAGCTGTGGGCAGGGTTGGTTTCTCCTGATGCCTCCCTCCTTGGCTTGCAGATGGCGTCTGTCTCTGTGTCCTCACATGACAGAGGGAGAAGGCTCTGGTGTTTTTTTCCTTATTTTTTTAAGGGCACTAATCCCATCATGACTTTATCTAAACCTACTCACCTCTAAGGCCCTACCACCTAATACTGTCACGTTGAGAGTTGTGGCTTCAACACATGAATTTTGAGGGGACACAAATATTTGGTTCTTTGGAATTGGTGATGATCTTTCTTGTTTTGACATTTTGCTACACCGTGTTCTAGCTTCCAGGACCACGGCTGAGAAACTCAGTGCCATTCTAACTCCTGATCCTTTGATGTGACACTTGTGTGTTCTTGCTCTTAGGAAGCTCTGAGAATTCGTTCTCAGTACCTAGTGTTCTGACCTGGTACTATGATGTGCTTTGATTTAGGCCTATTTTTATTCTTTGAGGTGGCAACCCCATAGACCCAGAGGCTCCACCTCTGGAAGTATTCAGGAATTATTTTGTTGATTATTTTTCTTTCTCCATTTCCCCTGTTCTTCTTTTCCTGAAGCTCCTATTATTTGGGTGTTGGACCTGCTGAACCGGACTAATTCTCTTTCTCTGTTTCCCTCTCCGCCTCCTCTATTTTCTGGAAAATTTCTTCAACTTTATCATTCAACAGTTCTATTGAGTTTTTCATTTCTACAATCACATTTTAAAAAATTTTCCATAAGCTCTTTTTGGTTTTCTGAATATTCCTTTCTATGCCTTTCTGTTCCCACTTAAGTGATATACATTTCCCCCCTTTTTTCTCTCTGAGATGTATTTACTTTTTAAACATTTTCTCGTCCCAGAAATGTCTCCCTTCTCTGAGCAGCTTTTTTACTTTTTATTTTATTTTTTTCTGTTTGTCTTTATTAATAACTCCATCCTCCATGGATTTCCACGAGTCCTTACTGTTTTGTTCTTAACTAAAACTGGGCAAATACAGAGCTGACTGGAAGCACTCAGTCTAGTGGGAGGTTTTCCTCTTTGGGCTTCACTGCAGGTTGGCCAGGATTTTTGGTCTTTCCTCTTGGGTCAGTCAGAGACACCTGCGAGTCTTCTAATCTTCTACTGCAGGTGGGAGTGCGGGTCTCAGCATTCAATTCAACCACACTGGTCTCGCGTCTGCAATCCTGGTCCAGAGACCCTAACTTCCCTCCCGTGGAAGACCCACACATTGTCTCTGAGGTAAGCGAGGACTGTGTCCCAGGAGCCTGGGATGAACTCTGGGGATCTGGCACTACTTTATCGACAGCTTTTGACCCGAGAGGCCTTTGCCACCAACACCAGAGGCTTTTGAGCTTTCCTGGCTTTCTCCATCCTCAGCTCAGTCCCAACCTTTTTGGGTCTGCGTTCTCGATTATGACTGATTTTTTTTTCTCAAATTGTGTTGCTGCTCTCTCCACTCTTGTTTTCTCTGCCTTTGTGGGCTTTATGCCTTTTAAATAAACTTCACTACTGCAGTTTTAGAGGCTTCTCAGGAAGAGGCAAAATTCTGCTGACTCTCACTCATGGTGACTTTTTACTTCAAGGTTTTTCTGTGTGTGTGATTTTGACTGTGAGCTCATATTTGCTAGAATGTTGTCTGGAAATGAGTTAAGAACTGTGTGTGTAGTGTATTCTATCACAGAAGATCGATCTTTACAGCTTCCAGGATCTTTAAACTAAGTGGTTGGCTTATAATTTTAGATGTCCCAGGGAGTAGGAATTTGGAATTTGGGGCCCATCGGGCTGGTTGTGTACACATGTTCCCAAGGAGGTTGCCCTTCATTCAGAGCTGATCAAAGATGGGTAAGCCTCCTCATCTTCCATTACAAGGGACTTCCCTGCCATTGTTTGCTGAAGATGTAGCCTCTTGTGGTCTGGTTGCAAGTTGCAAGTTCGGCCTCACTTCGGTTGCAAGTCAGTCCTCAGCTTTCACTCTGGTGTTCTGTGAGTGCCTTATTAAAAATCCAGACTAAAGCCGGGCTCGGTGGCTCAGCCTGTAATCCCAGCGCTTTGGGAGGCTGAGGTGAGTGGATTGTCTGAGCCTGTGGGTTCGAGACCTGCCTGGGCAACTTGGTGAGACCTCATCTCTACAATAAATCAAAAATTAGCCAGGCATGGTAGTGCGTACCTGTAGTTCCAGCTCCTTGGAAGGCTGAGGCAGAAAGATTGCCGGAGCCCAGCAGGTCGAGGCTGCGGTGGCCGGGAGTGGCCACTATATTCCAGTCTGGGCGACAGAGTGAGACTCCAACTCAAAAAAAAAAAAAAAAATTCAGCACTTCAGAAGCTGGTGGTCTCCTGAGATTACAGCTGCCCTTAGGGCAGCCAGTGGCTCCTTCATACCTGTTCTATCTGGACTCCCATCTGAATGTTTCCAGCCTCTGATTATTTCCCTAACTTTCTTACCAGTTCAGTTGTACATTTTAAAATGTGTGTGTGCGTTTTAGGATTTTTCCTCAGAATTTGCAGTGGGAGGAGATTTAGGTTAGACCTTTGCCTTATTACCAGAAGCAGAAAAAGAGATGTAATTGTTATCTTTTTTTCCCAAGCACCTAGGTCCCCCACCAAACGCCATACAACCTCACAGGGCCAAGACAAGGGTGGGGCAAGCCAGGTGCACAAATTAAGTGCCTGCCCAAAACTCAGCCATCGAGATAAATAATATTTCCATGCATTATATAAAGATTCAAATTTAATCCAAAAGCATGCACGATGTACCAACAATAGATCAGAAACTAAAAAAAAAAAAAAGGGCAGGAACATGCAAACCAATCATGGACTTGGACACGATTGGGAATGTTGCAAGAAGTGGGGGTGAGGGGAGTGGAAATCATTCTTGCTTCGATTGCTGAGGGGCATGGGTTCAATAAGACTTAGGAATCCGGGCAAGGCACTTTCCCCAGGCAGAGTATATATTGGCCTCTGACTCACACATGCAAACTCCGTTTGACAAACCAAGACAGAGAGCCTCCTCGCTCTCCTGGTAGAGAGCATCCATCCTCTGTGGGGTGGCCGCCCCCCTCAGATTTCAGGTGGGCACCAGCAGCATACCCTCCAGTGGCTCCTTAGGTTTGGAAGTTGCTTGCAAACCTGGGTTTTTGGGGTCCCACCTTCTCAAGCCGCCTGTGGCCCCTGCTCCTACTACCGGTGCCCGCAGAAATCCGCAGGCGCCCTGCAGCCCAGCTCTCCTCTGCCTGTGTGGTCCTGCCCTGCCTGGGCAGACCTGCCTTTGTGTAGGGTCTCTTCACTCTCTTTTCAAGCCCATGGTCGGAGTTGCCACCTACTTTCCTCATCCCCATCCATTTGTAGGCTGCCATAGCCTGGCCTCTGTGTTCACCATGCCTCTTACCTTCCTGACCAAAGAGGTGGACCTTATCCTAAGCCTGGCCCCATGTGCTTGTTATCCTTGCTTTGCACTCTCCTGTTTCCCCTGAGTGGGGTGTCCTTAGTTTTGTCCTCCTCCCCCCGCCCCGTCTTGCTAAACAGCTGCTGCACACTCATGGTCTCACCTGTGTGCTCAGGACCCTGTAACCTGGGTTCAGCTCAGACAACTCCAGGCATGTCTAGTACTGTCTCCCTGCCCCTGGGCTGACTGGATTTATGATCAGACATATCCAGCCACTCCCAGACCCAGCACCCTGATTCTCAAGCTCCCTCCAGACTGTGTCCCCTTCTCTTTTCCCACCTTCTCAACTCCTGTGGACTATGGTCTTTTGTCTGTGCTGCTTGTGGCTGGGCCCTGGCCTCGACCCAGCCTGGTCCCTCCAGCTCGTTCCAGACAATCTGCACCCTGGAACTGGGCTTCCCACTCTAGGTGGACATTATGCTAAGCCTGGCCCCACCTACTTGTTATCCTTGTCTCCAATATCCAAGTCTGTGCCCCATCCATCCATCCATCCATCCATCCATCCATCCATCCATCCATCCATTCATCCATCCACTTCCTGCCTCCCT